GATAACCCTACTAGAACACTTATTCTAGTTGATTCAGGCACATACAAGTAATCTTTTACTTTTCTTTTTCCTTATTATATTATGAGTTTGAAACGAAATTTAACTATTTAAGTTTTGCTGACACTGTATTTCTCTTAGGGATTCAAAATTAAATTATATATATATATATATATATATATATATATAATAAAAACTTTTGTGTACCCTATTTATGTCGTATAACTTTATCGATGAAGGTAATCCCCTTCATAGCATGTTGCTCCGTCATTACTAACAGTGTAAAAGGACTTTTATATTATGAGTGTATTTTAACCTGTTGTAACAGCGGCAACCTTCGTATTTTCAAGGTTACAAATCTGACTTTTTATTATTTAATGCTTCCAACATAGTATATATATAGAAGTTAAACTCTTGATTTTTTGAATAAAAATTTTCGTTAATTGAAGTTTCATGATATTCTGGCAGGGAGAAAGTGGTGATAAACACTAACAAGACAAATTTAATAATACAAGGCCAAGGTTACCTTAATACTGCTATAGCATGGAATGATACTGCAAATTCTACTGGTGGAACTGCCAACAGTTTTACTGTTGCTATTTATGCTCCCAATTTCATAGCCTATAATATCAGCTTCCAGGTACACTGATTGTCTTTCATTTTTCATAAACTAATTATCAATCATATAATTTGAATTTTCTCCTGTATTAACAATTTTTTTTGAGTTTAAATTCTATACACTGACAATGAAAATTTCTATGATATATATAAACATATAATTAGTTAGTAGGTAGTTGAGCGTTTGTCCATTCCGTACTGGGTGTAGGTCTAGTCTATTAGTGCCTTGTTTTCGTATGCAAGTCATACGTGTTGTGTTCATACTATTTTTTCGCTCAGGTTTCCTAGTACCTTGCCATTGTTGCTGATCACTGATATTGATTTTTATTGCATTTTCTATTTATTTTTCTGATCTGTACTATTTTTTGGCCTATGTTGTTGATATTGTTCTATTGTCTCTTTTCATCTTCTTGTGTCGATGGTCTATCGGAAACAATCTCTACCAAAAAGTTGATAAAATAACCTGTTATTATTAGTTAAATAGCCTAATAGACGTAGAAAATATTTACATTGTTAGCGTATATAACTTAAATATGGGTCTTTTTTAATGGATTTATGTTTGTTTTTGTTTAAGAACACAGCCCCTTCGGCTTCACCAGGAGATGTTGGAGCACAGGCAGTGGCTTTAAGAGTAACAGGAGATGAAGTTGCATTTTATGGATGTGGATTTTATGGAGCACAAGACACTCTTAATGATGATAGAGGACGACATTATTTTAAAGATTGTTTCATCCAAGGGTCCATTGACTTCATCTTTGGAAATGGTAGATCACTTTATGAGGTAATTAGAGTAATTAACTCAAAAAATTTACTATAATTACTTCCTTCGTCCAAGTTTACTTGTTCATTATACTAAAAATAGATGTTCTTTTTACTTGTCCAATTTGAAAAATCAATGGATAATTTTCCATTATCTATTCTACCCTTCTTATTAAGTACTACTCTATCCGTTTTAATTTAGATGAGGTATTTTGATTCGGCACGAAGTTTAAGAAAAAAAAAAGACTTTTGAAACTTGTGATCTTAAAAGCTTTATAGGGTCATGACATTTGTGTGGTTATAAAAGCTTCTCACTAAGGGTAAAATGAATAAAATGAAGAGTTTAAAGTTGAATTATTTCCAATTGTAAAAATTTTCGAAGGGACTAATAAGGAAAATGTATCATCTAAATTGAAACAGAGGGAGTACTTATTTTCAATTCATTTTCCAACAAATAATAGAGTTAGACAGGGGTAATATAGTAACATTATCAAGTTATTATTGTTTCTTTTGGGTGTGTCAAGTCTATAGTGGACAAGTAAACTTGGACGGATGGAGTGGATCATCTAAAAGATGAGTACACATTGTCCATAATAAGTTAAAAGTATCACTTAAAAGCTAATCATTATTACTCTTTATGTCCCAATTTATATGACGGTGTTGGAATATCAAGTATCAAATAAGTTTTTCTTTGACTGTAATTTTTTCATATGATTTTTATACATTTTGAATTATTAATTACTATGATTTATATTATTTTTTTTACGTAATTTATAAATATATAAATTTTATTTCAGAATATATTAAGATTTTATGTTTGAATTCACGGTAAAAATAAAAAAAGATTGACCCTCAAACGTGAACTATATCACATAAAATTGTGACACAAATTACGGAGTATAATAATGTGATAGAGACATTTGGTATTGACATGTATATATGACAGGATTGCAGGATAAATTCAATAGCAAAAGAAGAAACAGGTGGAATTGGAGGATCAATCACAGCACAAGGAAGAAATTCCCAAAATGAAAATTCTGGATTTTCGTTTGTGAATTGTGCTATTAATGGCAGTGGAAAAATATGGCTGGGCCGAGCTTGGGGAGCATATGCTACTGTCGTATTTTCCAAAACGTATATGTCAAATGTGGTTTCCTCAGATGGCTGGAATGATTGGAGAGATTCAACTAGAGATCAGTCAGTAACTATCCTAGTTAACATCTATATATATTTTTTTTATATTCTCTATTGCAGAATTTGTTGATTAAATTATAAAAATTCTTTAAGAATTAAGAATATAGAGAATACAAAACACTTTATATAGCTGAAAAAAGGAGGATAGGTTTAAATTTGCTTTAGTATTATCCGTAATTGAGAAATTTTATCGTAGGAATGATACTAGATAGCCACTATAAAGGGTTGCTATTTAGAAATTAAATTCAATTTTTCAGGACAAATGTTCTGAATTATCTTGAAATTAAATTTTTTAGTTTAAAATTTAAGAATAAAATAAATAATAGCTAATCTTTAAATATCATCCTTGAGAATGACTACCCGCATACTTCCCCTAATTTTATCTTACCCCGTTGTTGAACCTTTGGTCCAATCTTACCCCACCGTTAAGATAAAGTTTTGTTTTTGCCCTTAGATGTTTACCTTAACATCTAACGTTAAGGTAATTTTAAATTATATTTAGAAGTTGAGGGGTAAGTATGTACTAGGGGTGTACAAACCGAACCGAAAAATCGAACCAAACCAAAAAGTCAAACCAAACCGATTAAAAAAATCTGACTAGGTTTGGTTTGATTTGGTTTGGTATTGAGTAAAAAAAACCGAACCAAACCGCAATATAAATATATAATTTTTATATATACTTTTAAGATTTTATATAGAATTTTCTTTAAAAAAATATCTAAAAATATTTGAATTCTCTTGCTGGATATAATATTTAATAGTATATGAAGTGCTCCACATTTATTAATCTTAATTAATGGATTGTATGATCACTTTCTCATCAAGTGTTACTGAAATGCGTCAATCTCTTTGTTCTTCCATATTCATATCATATGTTAAGATCTATTAAATTCTTATATCTTTTTCAAATGTGAAGTGATTATTATTATTTAGATATCATATTGATTTTTATGTTTAATTACTAAATTCGGTTAACCTTGAAAGTGTACATCAACGAAAAATTATTGTCAGACGACTAAAAAAATAACTATTATGTGTTACTAAGAAAATTCTCTCATAAGAATATTTTAATAGATAATATGTTTGTCAATTTTTTATATTTTTACTAAACATATATTTACTTATCAAAAATTTAACAAAGTAAGATTAAAATAATATTTAAGTAACAAAAAACCCGAAAAATCTGACAAAACCCAACCAATCCAAACCGATATAGTTGGTTTGGTTTGGTTTGGTTTTGATAAAAACCGAACCAACCTGGTCTATGTACAACTCTAGTATGGACATTCATTATCGAAGAATTTGGACACGTTGAGGGAGTCCACCTATTTCATGTTGGAGCTCCATTAACAGCAAGGGCAAATATGAGACAACTTGCCAACAACAACAATAACAACAACAACGATATAAATGAACCTAAAGTGAAACATACGGTAAAATTGAACAATTTCGAATACAACATGAACAAATTTTGACTTTTTTCCCTTTAAAAAAAAAAAAGAAAAACAAGAAATCATAGTAGAGAGGAGATTACTTTTGTTTGAGGCGTTTCCTTAAAACTTAACAAGTTTGACATTAAAAAAGGCAGCCCGGTGCACTAAGTTCCCGTTATACATGAGGTTCGAGGAAGAGTCGGACCACACGGATCTATTGTGAGCAGTCTTCTTCTTTACAAGTTTGACATTGGCGAGTAATAATTTGAATGTCTGTTTGTAGGACAGTATTATTTGGAGAATACGAGTGTTCTGGACCAGGAGCCAACTACGAATATAGAGTACCATATGCAAAACAGTTGAAGCAAAATGAGGCAGCTCAGTACATGGACATATCTTTTATAGATGGACAACAATGGCTTCTTAATAGAGGATCATCATTCACTTTTTCACTGTCAGAGGCAAAAATCCTAAGAATTTTCAGAAACTTATTAAAGATATACATTACTTATGTTGTATAAATATGTAATGACAAAGGAGCATATTCTTGTATAGCATCTTTAAAAGTTATTAGTTATTTTTCTCGGATACAAAAAATTATATATTACAGACTTTGTCATTTATGAATACAGGTTATATCCTTGCTTTTTAGCATACTCAATGCATCATGAGATTTAAATTGATCTCAAAGTTTAAAGTTAGAATTACTTCAGATTATATTCCCACCTAATATATGCAAAAGATTGTTCTCTTATTGATCTTTACTAACAAGAAGCATAATAGGAAGTTATACGAAAGTAAAGGGCAGCCCGGTGTACTAAGCTCCCGCTATGCGTGAGGTCCGGAGAAGGGTTGGATCACAAGGGTCTATTGTACGCAGCCTTACCCTGTATTTATGTAAGAGGTGGAAACCCGTGACCCCCTGGTTACATGGCAGCAACTTTACCAGTTACGCCAAGGTTCCCTTTCAAAGTTATATACGAAAGTAAGGAACTAAAATTGCCAAAATGCTTTATTAAGCAATTGCATAAAATGAAAGAAATTAGATAGGACACAGCAAAATCAGTTGATGCTTGATAATAATTGAAAATAGTACTGATCTCACAGTAGATATGATCAACCTAATATTTGTATATGAGGTCCTTATATGCTTCCTTATTTTCAGAATAGTACTTCACCTCAGCCTGCAAAACACGGGAAATCGTTCTCAGCAATGTCCGCAAATGTTAGAGAATAGAAAGGATTTTAAATACAGTTAATCAATATTATTAGTAATAAATCACGTGATTTTGCAAAGGAAAAATGCAATTTAACTACTTTTAGCAATTGTGTTCATATAGAACAGTATCAAAATTATGCAAAAAGGAGAATTGAGCATCCTTTATGTCGATAAATTTGACTATTAAGGCATAATACAGTTGCACATCCAAGTCCTACCGCCTTTAAACGTCCAACTGATCTATTTGAATCATACCCTATTGACTGTATAATTGAGTAGCATCGAAGGGAAATAAGGGTGCTATTATCTAAAGGTAAAACATCTGAGCTAATGCTGATGAGCCGCAATCATTCTTTATTTCATTATACCCGACAACTTTTATGAGGGGAAGCAGTTCTTAAGTGAAAAGAGGAATTCTGTCAAACATATCCATGTATTATGAAGAATCCTTTGCAATGTACCTTGCGAACTCCTATTATGGCAATCAAAAGCTTTTCACCAATCATATCTCTGAAAAGCGTATCTTTCTCTAAAGCTTCTACAGATTCAGCGAGAGACGCTGGTAATCTTTGAAGATTCTCTTTAAGGATATCAGGATCTCCATCTGTTTCACAAGAAAAGAAAAATGGAATGACGGATAACAGAAAAAACATCTCGCATGTGAACATGGAAATTGAGTTATCAAATCTATATAACTCACTTCAGTAAGTGTCAGCATTAGCAATAGGATTTTTATACAAAGGCAGAAGTTGCAAGCCATGTGTAAAAGTACTCATAGACGAATAGAATAATCCTCACATTATTTGTTTCTAACCAAACTAAGCAAACTCAATGGCTGTTACAAATATACTCACTGCACTTAGCTAAGAGAATCCCTTGTCATAAATTTCTTCTTTCTATTTCCCCCCCTTCTTTTTTTTTTTTGGCAGATAAGTGAATATAAGGGGATGGCTTTTTGGTACTGTCCCTTCTTGTCTATATTTTCATTAATGGGGTGCTTATGCTTTCCTGAGCCGAGGGTCTATTGGAAATAACCTCTCTGTCCTCTCAAGGTAGGGGTAAGGTCTGCGTACACACTACCCTCCCCAAACCCCACGGTGTGGATAATACTGGGTTTGTTGTTGTTGTTGTATAAGTAAATATAAGGGAAATTGTCCAATATTATGGATGAAAGTAGGTCAATAATTAACAAACATATTTTGGTGTGACATATCAAAGAGAGGAGAAACAATGACACCTTAATACTAGGAGTTGATGTATATTTACGTGGTTACTGCTCCCGATTCCATCTGTTCAAATTAGAAGATATGTACAGCTCTATACAACTAGAGCTCAAGCTTAAGCTAACAAAGATCCAAAAGGGTAGCAATGAAGATGGACTTAAATGGGAAACGTGGAAGGACCTTGTTCAGATTTTAAATGCCAAGTTTAGGTACAAATATTGATACATTATAGTTCAAATTAGGATTATACATAAACATTTATAATATAACATGAAGTTCAAGACGAAAAAAAAGACCTTAGAGGCTAATATACCGTGGAAGATGAAGTCGAGAAGATTTTACTAGAAGACGTCTAACTTACCTACTGGTTCTGGAAGGCTTAAGTTTCTCCGCAAGCCATCAATTCCAGCAGTAATTATGGAGGCAAGACCGAGGTATGGGTTTGCACACCCATCAAATGCTTTAATTTCAAAATTGCTTACAAAGCCATGTGCAACTCCAGGAGGACTAGCAGCTCTTAATGGTGCCTCTCTGTTTTCTTTCCCCCAGCAGAGATACGCTCCACTCCACGTATTAGGTTGTATGCGGTCATAACTGTACGTAGAAAGAAGTATTACAAGATTTTCATTAATCTTTCCGCAGTTAAGTCCATAAACGCAGAAAAGTTGAGATATAATCTACTGTTAAGGTTCGAGAAACAAACGATTTCCACGTATAACAACAATGAAAAAGAGATTGTTTTCAGAACAGAATAGTTGAAATAAACAAATCCTATATCTTTATAACGGAATAGCCTTCTAGAAAAAGCATAAACCAATCACCAATAGATGTAAAGAAAGCCAGACATTCAAAATTGTAGAAAGTCTCTGACCTATTAGGAAGTGGTGCAGTAAATGGTAATATGGAAGGAAGATGATTTAACACCCCAGCCATGAATGCTTCCCCAATCTTTGACATCCCATACCGACTTGATCCATCAGATGCCATAAAAATGTTTTCTCCATTCCTGGACAAACTGATGTGCACATGCGATCCCGAGCCAATATCATCTAATGCATACCTAGAAAAAAAGTGTCACAAGGTAACAAACTGATGAGAGGACTCCTTGCAATAATTCATGCAGTACAAGTTATTGAAATTGGGGTCCATACACATGAGTGCCTTGCAGATGAGAAGCTACTTCAAAAGTAAAGTAAATTTATAATCAGAGAAGTAACTTCATAAAATAATGGAAAAGGAACATCATTTACTTGTGCTACCTACTTTGGCACAAAAGTTGCCAGCAACCCATGTTTCCTTGCAACTGCTCTGATGACTTCACGTGTGAAAATTAAGCCGTCAGCTGCTCTACTACAATTTGTGTATTTCAGAGCAATTTCAAACTGACCTTTCCCAGCCTCTGCATGTAACTGTATATTTAAAGGAGACAACATCAGGGCAAGGGGAGTCTTTATTGAATTGAAAAATAGTACAGCAAAATATGTATTCTATCATCTTATTTTTAGGGAAAAAGAAAAAATAATGTAGTTTATATTGCAGGAATATTATGCCATGACACCATAATATCTATAAAACTGTAGAGAACATGTTACGTGGACCATATGACTGAACTGCTAATTTGATGGACCTGAAAAGAACAAAATGGTTTTAGCAGATACATATGGCCAATCTTAACTAATTCGAAATTGAGGTATAGTTGATTTGTTGATTGATTAACATGAAATACATCGTTCTTTTTCCTTATATTCCCTCTCTTTTCTCTTTCTTTTTGAGGAGCTGGGCCAAAGGTAGTTAATGTTGTTTGTGAACGAATTATCCATGTAAACCATGACATAAAACGAACATGTTACTGTTGTTTTAGGTATTGACTATCTATCGTCACTGTCAATAAAAAAAGAGATTCCAACACTTTCTCAGCTTCTTCTCTGGGCAAGGAGATATACATATTTTCATGAAATAATACAATCATAAGTAGCTATTTTTCTCCGCTGAGTAGTGGTGTTAGATTTAAAGAACCGGATAAATTCCTCTGGTTGAGCTCTACTCTTATACGGCATCAAGCTTTTTCATCGAACTAAAAAAAGGAAAAGCATGCTAAAATGTTTCCTTATATCCGCAGCACTGTACGCAAACAATGTGAGAAAGATCAAAATTGCAAGTCAAATAAATGGAAACTCACCTGTTCGACAATAATATTCAATGATTGAAGAGAAGCGAAAACCTCTTCGAGTATTGGGGATGCAGCATCAAATGCTGCTGTAGAGCAGTAAGAAGTTCGGTCAAATGGTGCCCGTTCTTCTTTGCCATCCCTGTATAATTTCATTATATGATTACTCTAACACATTACAGACCAGAATCATACACATATATCATGGAAGAGAAAATCCAAACTCAAACTATTGAGGAAAACCATAACTCACACTAATACAAAAGAGACTCTAAACACAAAATATTACGGGAAAGCTTGACTGACATACCTCAATACACTCTTCAAAAGAAAAAATTCATTTTCAAAGCCTGCATTCACGACCTGAACACGTAGATATAAATTAGAGATATATGATTTTTCAGATGTTGCACAAAAAGATATTAAACATACCAAGTCGAATTCATCTTTTAAAATTTTAGAGACTCTGCGTAATGCTTCTCTTGGACAATATTCCCAAATTTTACCAGGCTCAATGAACATGTCAGCCAAAACCATTTCTTGTTGTTTTGCCCTGTATGAAAAGATGCACATTAAACTTGATCTGGAAACAATAAAATCAAACCAAGTTAGAAGGAAACTGGATTGAATAATTTCCACTCCAAGTCCATACGTTTGTCATATACAAGAACGAACAAATAGTTGGACAATGGACTCAATGTGTGTACAACTTTGGAAAAATCACTGTACTTTTATCTTCTATCTGTTTCACTATCACATGATATCATGGAAGAAATTGCATCAATATTTCTGGAAAAAGATTTGTCCGGATGATTCACATCCAAAATATTCTCTTGATTATTTTTTCTACCTTTTACCTTACCCCGATAATTTTCGAATATATTAGTAGTGCTAACTTAAATCCTATTTAACTTCATTATATTGAGCTTCTGCTGTTAGTGACCAGGTAACTGACCCCATATCATATATGGTTATTTGCAAGTGCAGATATTGGAGTTCTGCCCGGTTAACTAGAGATTCAATGAAGATGGGAAGGTTCAGTATTATTTTTAAGAAGGCAATAAGAACACAGATGACAGAATCCCATAGCAAAGCATTTGAATGAATGAAAGAGGGTCTTCTCTGATCATATCATATATGACATGTCAGAGAAAATCCATGAAGACAACCTACAGCATATGGAGGCTAAAATTAAAACCTAAAATTCAAAAGGATAAAGAAAAGAGTGAATCTCTCAAGCACTTATAGACGTTAAGCAGTACCACGGGAGTCTGCATTTAGTAGATAAATCAGGAACAATTCTGATTTCTCCTGAAGCGGTGAGATTAGTATCCACTGCAGGACCATCAGATGTTGAACTCATGCCCATACATGCACAAGTTAAGCCTACACCGTGCTTTCCCACAGAACTGTAGAAGCGTTGCTGTGGAACAACCTGTAATTGATGCACAAGACATGAACAAATTCAATCCACTTTTGACAAGAGCATAGAAACTCAAGCAATTTCCCAATATCATGTACTGAAGGTAATTGAAAAGCCTGAAAAGTATACAAGGGCTTGAACGTCCTGTACTTGCCCTATATAAAACATCAGATACAATCACGGATAGTTGGTATTTGACACCATGTACAAGGAGGGAGAGAATAACTTGCATGTTGGTTCCAATAGCTAAGCAGTGTATAAATACAGTACATTAGGTGCTAACTAAGGAAAGAAATAAAGAAGGAATCCTACAAATCTGCTACCTATATATGGCTTTGTACAAACTAAGAACAAAGTCTATATACATTCTGTAACACAATTAAAAGACTAGGAGCCAGCCCTCAATTCCGTTTGTTATACAAACCCCTTGCATTTTCTCAAAGTGGGACAAAGATTTGGGTGGTTGCAAGCATCGAAAAGCACATCATTAAATAATTCATAATCTTAAGGGAAAAGCAGTAACATCAATGGACAAGGCAAAGCTTACACGGCATCTATGCTGGCCAGAAGCATCAATCCAAATAATACGAACAAAGGTGACATCCTTCAATGAGCCATTTAACTCTTCCTCCTGGAAGGCAGATGATAAAGGAGGTTTTACATCGGAATACTTTGAAGAAATATCAAGCTTGTAGTATTGCTTTGCGTTCTCTGCAAAAAGATCTTTAACGGCTGCAACAGCTTCTGGAATTGAGAGATCACCATCAACACATGCATCACGTAGAACAGAGAATACTACTTCACGTGCTTTCTTTGCACCTGCAGAAGTAATTGAGTCCAGATTGCACCAATTGCAGATTAGAAAGAAGATAAAATAGGAATAACTCACTTAGCTAACTTGCTACCCAAGTTGGATATTATTGTCTGACAATAACTTTTTTTTTCCCTTACAGCTTTTGAAGTAATTATTCATTGATCAAAGTGATACATGTGCATCTAAGTTTTTTTTTTCTTTTGCCGCACCTCATCAAGCAAGATTCTCATTTCTTTTAAATCTATTCAATAATTTGTTTAATAATATTTTTTTCCTTACAGCTTCTGAAGCAATTATTTCCTTGTCATGTCACGCTCTAATGATACGAGATGAAAAAAAGAATCCAGGACAAACCTAAATAAAAGGTTTCAGCAAATGCGATGCCATCAGTGCTGAACATAACCTGTTGATATCCAAACATTACATAGGAAATTGTTCGCTCTTTATACGGAGCAATTATTAAGGCTCTGAAAGAGTAGTCAGCCTAAAAATATAGAAAGCCTGAACTAGAAAGATACGTTATTAGGTACTTTAGTATATAATTTGGTAAGGTAAGGTACTATTCAAGTGTATCTTTAAGTACGTGGACAACCTTATTCATTGGAGCAAGCTCCAGTAGTTCTTTCACTGAGGATATCATCCCGTGGAAGCTAAGTTTAGGAATTGCCAACCCAAAATCAAGATAGACCTGTAACATACATTGACCTGTTAGAGAGAACCAAGGGAAAAAATACAATCTTTATTGTCATTAATAGATGTTGAAATGTCTCCTACGCGGCAGGTAATAAAAAATTCCAAGTAAAAGCTGTGTTAATACACAAGATCTTCATGTTGATAACTTCAGATGGAGGACAAAAAATCTCACTTGGGGATACACAGAAGCCAGATATGAAGCTTCCTTTGAGAACGGGTAGGACGCATGCAAAAGCACTAACCGACTCTTCAAGAATCTCTTATCCTCAAGAAGATTTCGAAGATGAAGGGGATTAGCTAGCCTCAGATCCAAATCCTTGTCCCCGAAACTGAACTCAAGAAATGAAAAAATGTCGTCGATAAGGACTAGGAGGATACTACAAAAAGAAAAACAAACTGCATACGTCTCACATTTGATTTGTAATTTTAACTAAGACGAATATCATGCAAGCAACAAAAGGCTCAAAAACTGTTGACTTGATCAAATCTAGAAAATCCAGAAAGGAAAATGAGACCAAGCTATATATTTCAAAGACAATCTTTTCATTACCCTGTGTGTATTTGCATTGGCAAGTCATAACTTTGAGCAACCTTCAAAGCATGCATGAAGATATAATCAATGAAGCTCTTGTTTGAGATTCGGACTGGATTCCCAGCTGGAAACACAGAATTTATCAGAATGACCTGCTCAATTGTGGTCCAATACAACCCCACAACTCACAACACTCACCAGATAAAACAGCACTCAGGCCCTCCTCAGCCTCCTTTTCAGTGACTTCTGTATTAATTGCAAGACCGCTGCGATATGCTACTATACTTTTAAATGCAAGAACTTTATATGCTACTGTATAAAAATAGGAAAAACTTTTGGAACCATAATTCCTTAGCAACAAGAAAAAAAATGTTTTCGCACTATTCTGGAATATATTGACAGATAATCAAAGGATATGACTTCAACTCCTCAGTGAAAATCTCCAAGAATGATCCCAGAGTCCATGTTGTTCCATTTGAACCCTGGAATATAATAGCACAGGAGAGGAGAAAGACATTAACAAAACTAACAGGTGTAGAAAGAGTTAACAAAGAAAGAGTGTTCTACAGATGATAATATGTCAACAAAATGAGCACACTCCCTTTGTGCCAGAGATATCAACATTTAGAAAAACCAATGCAGAATGATTCAAGAACTCCTAGTCCCTCCACTACATTTATAGTCCCTTCTAGTTCATCAGCATGATTCCACAAACACATTCAATAAATGCAGTATGCTGCAAAATAATTATTAGTCATTACCTTCTCAAGAATCTTTTCAGCAACACGCTCAACTCGTAGTATTCTACCAACTGTTGGTACAAAACTTTCATGCCATTTGATGTCAAGCTTTTTGTCCAACTCAATTCCATCATCAATAAGTAATACAGAGATTTTTGCAGCTTTGAAGCAAATAGCAGAGCTCGACTCCAACCCAAAGCGCTGCCGAGATTCTTGAACAGCATGTAAGGATAAGCTTGTGCCATACAGTTGAGCAATTTCCTTTAGGCTTCTCTAAATGAAGATACAATGATTTAAGAAGAATTGCAAAGAGAAAAAAGATAAATGTCTGGAACTAGATTCATGAATGACAAAGCTAACATGACTCCACATAAATAAACAAAAAGGCAATGGCAGGAACATTTTTGCGCATGTTCTAGGCCAGAAACAAAGGAAGTAATTCCAATATCAAAATAATTAGCGACTGTTAAGTTGACACTTTCAAGTAAGACCTTTTCACCCCAAATGTACTAAAGTGAGACAAATCATTGAGCGTAATGGATGGGGACACAAACATGCTGCCAAGAAAGGACATAAAAACAAAATTACGGCAGGAAGCCAAGACTTATATCACATTTATTGGTCTTAGCAGCATTGCGTTATAACTATCTTGTACAATCTGAATTAAGAAAAATAACATCCATGGAGCATTTCTGTCCTACCCAAGCGCAGAATGATCTTTATGCAGTCTGTAAAATACTCAAAGAAAAAACAACTTTAAAGAATCTGCTAAATTTGGAGACTTGCTTATTTTGATTTGTAATCAGAAAATCGAGTTTATTTATGGCTTTCACTCTTATTCTATTAGCTTATAGTTTTCAGTTAATTAATAGGTTTCTGGAATTTTCCAGTACCACGGATAGTCTTGGTAATCTTCTGGAATCCTGAAGTTAGTTGAAAATTAAGATTTTCTAATTATAACAGACTACTTATAGCTTTCTAATGTCATTAATGCTTGCATTAGGGTAGGTTGTCTACATCACACCCCTAGGGGTGCGGCCCTTCCCCGGACCCTGCGTGAATGCGGGATGCTTTGTGCAGTTGTCTTTTTTTACTTATAGCTTTAAAAATTTGAAGTTGCTTTGCAACAGTAATTTAAGCGAGTCTAGATATATGCTGCACTGCTCAATTCATTGGCCAAATAGAAAATTTTATAAGCAAATTCCTAAATATGTTTCTACCTTTACGCCATCCCCCCTTTATGGCAACAAATCTGAGCAACTTTGGTCCACAAAGTTTACTGCAGTACAAACATATCACAATAAATAAGATGACCATAACTTGAAGAGCATGACCCCATCTCAGTTATGGAGAACAAGGCAAATTATCTCTCATTGCCTCAGAAAACCAATGAATGCTACTTCCAGAAGCATTCAATACACCAGCACTACATATTATCTTCATGATCTGTGGTTCTAATAAATTGGTGATGCTTGATTGCACGGCTTATGTTTGAGAAGTCTCAAATTATACATTGATGCTTTACAACATGTTTCAAATTTTGTGCCTTTCAAAAGAGTCGAAAGCTTTTAAGAAAGCCTTCACACAAGAAAGTTTAAGTCTTTTCTACACAACACGAATTCTTCCCTCCAGATCTTTAACTGTAATATTTAGCATATAAAGACAGTCACTACTAGTTACTCAGGGTACTTTTGGTATGTTATAGTACATATTTGGCTTTAACTATCAGATGTCCCTTTCCCTCTCATAATCTGTGAAAGTGAAACAGATGAAGTAGAACCCCCTTTTCCCTTTTTCTTCTTCTTTTTCTTTTTTATGGTGCTGGTATCCAGGCCACCTAACCTACTATTTCATTGGTTACCTACTATCTCCCACCAGCACAACTACTCTTTCGCGGTTTCACTGGGTACCTGCAATCTCCCACCAGCGCACTGGGTACCTGCAATCTCCCACCAGCGCAGCTATCGGGCCTCGACTATTTCAATGGGTATTAGTGAACTCCCACCAACACACGTACAGGATAACTCTCGCTTATACCATCTTTTGACAGCGTGCACACACCCAAACTCGCAAGTAAAGCACATACATGTATTTCTTGTATAGCCGTATCTATAGATTGTAAAAATAATTTCTTTTTCTTTTTTTGGGTGGGGTGGGGGGTGGGGGTGGAGTGAAGCAAGTAAGGAAATTAAAGGGGGTAGGAGAAGAGTTGACCTTGAAGTTGATGGTATGGGGTACGTCGGATAAGGCGTCGCCGGAGGCTTCAGAGAAGCAGTTGAGAAAAGGGAAGGTGGAGTCCAGTGCCACAATGTTATGGGCATGAGCATCTACTATTTCCACTGTCTCTACTGCTTTTTTCAGCTCTGCAAATCTCTCCATTTTTTCTCCCCTTTCACAAAATCAGATAGTCAAATCTTGGACTTTACCGTTTGTTATTTATTTATAGCAATTTTGCGAACTAGCTTGTGTATAAAACACGCGCACGTACTATACGTAGATTTTTATTTGTCTGAATGTGATTGAAAGTCGCGCCATTTGTATTCCTCAAATAAGTAACAGTGACTATATTAACCACATGGGGTTTACTACTTCCAAAAGGAGGGAATACGTTTCCTCAATAATTAAGGAAAGTTAAGATTATAAAAGTGCGACTAATTCCGCAAATACTATATTTTACATTGTTACATATTTTTATATAGGTGAAAATCATTTATATACCCAAATTTACTTTAAAAATCAAACTCATCCTTCAATTTCGAACAATTATCCTTCTGATTCTCGTATCAAATGTGACTTCTTAAAATGCTTATTTTACCCTCTATAATTTTTATCTCTTATTTTTATTCTTTGATATAATGATATTTTTCATTTTAATTTATGTTATTGACTTACCTATAGACAAATTAAAAAGTTTTTCGAAACCAAAAAAGTGAGAAGCAGTAGTCAAGTATATAAGTTAAATATTAATAATCAATATTAACTGAATAATTTGTATTGACAAACGTGGTTAGTACGTATAACTCAAACTCTGATTTCATTATTTATAGAGACATAATTCATAACAATAGAAGATCATCTAAAAATAATTGTGGCAAGCCTTATTTTGAGATCGTTTGACTTAATTTGAAAATAAAATCATTTTGAATTTTTATTTAAAAATACATTTGTAAGTCAAGAAGACCTTAATTATCACTAATACGAAACGATCCCGTTAAGTGGTTAAAATTCATTCACGTAGATTAGGAGGAAGACGAGTTTAGGAGGAAATTTTCTTGAATCCTGATTATAAAAATTATGGTAAGTATCCAACTACTTAATGGAAGCTACTTCACAATGCAATTATAAATAATTATTTCAAAATTCATAATTTTTCGTAGTACTAAATTTGGCATATTACCTACCTTATTGAGTTCATATGAATCCGAAGTAGTTTTGCGTGAACTCTTAATTGCAACACGTACAATATTATTTGGGTTAAGGTAAGTCTTCCTAACACCTATTGTGTGCAAAAATTATTTATTACATCAATAGGATCTTATTACAACATTTCGCAATTTTCCATTTCTTGGAAATTTATAGGTATAGAAAACTTTTAACACGCACGTAGGGAAGCGAAGTGATGTAGGCTTACCTAACCATTACTAGAAGTGATCCAAACAATCACCTAACTAAAGGCTTAGCCTAACACTTATCAATATTGCACCAAAGTCAAAAAGAAAAAATTATTATAAGATATTATAGTGGATGTCTGTCTTCCTCCCTGATCTTCTTCTCAAATGCTTAATGACATATTCAATGACATATTGTTTCATTTTTCGTGCATATATAAAGATATTATAATAGATGGAAAGAACACGCAATTGAAAAAGAAATAAAATCTCATCTCTTTCTCTCTATATCTCTTAGCTTGGTTTTCCTTGTTCTATATTGTTACTTTGAGCTATATTCATATTATGTTATCAGCACGAGACTCTACCGTCTCAAGAAGTTCTTTGAGAAGACTAAGATATAATTCTTCTCCTCTTTTAATTATGACTGGTATTATGAAAAAAAAGTTCGTTGCCCTTGAAATTTCGGGTAAGAACTATATGACATGAGTGTTGGATGCTGAAATCCATTTAGATGCAATGGGTCTTGGAGACGCCATTAAAGATAGAATTAAAGCATCTACCCAAGATTGTGCTAAGACCTTGATTTTATTGCGCCATCACCTTGATGAAGGGTTGAAAATAGAATATCTCACAGTCAAAGATCCAATTGTTTTGTGGAATGGCTTAAAGGAAATATATGGCAACTTAAAGTTGGTCACTCTTCTACAAGCACGATATGATTGGGCTCATCTGAGGCTCCAAGACTTTAAGACTGTTTCTGAATATAATTCTGCGATGTTCAGAATTACTTATAAATTGAAACTCTATAGAGATAGTATCAGTGACTATGATATACTTGAAAAAATGTTCACAACGTTTCATGCCTCCAATATGATCTTGCAACAGCAGTACCGAGAGAAAGGTTTTAAGAAGTACTCTGAGTTGATTTCTCTTCTCCTTGTGGCTGAACGAAACAACGACTTGCTTATGAGAAATCACAAAAATCGACCCACTGGGTCTACATTATTGCCTAAAGTGGATGAAGTGTACTCACATTATGCTAAGCGTGGAAAAGGTCGTGGCCCTGTTCGTGGCCGTGGCCAAGGAAGAAATTTTTCCAGTGTTAATCATTCCCCAAAGAAAAATAACTTCCAAAAGTGGAAAGGGAAAGATGAGAAGCCAAAGGCAAAGGGTTCAAAAACTGAATGTTATCGTTGCGGTGGAAAAAGGCATTGGGCAAATATTTGTCGCATACCAAAATATTTGGTTGAGCTTTATCAAGCATCTCTAAAGAATAAAGGCCATGAAGCTAATTTTGTCTATGACAATGAATTTGACATCACCCATTTGGATGTGGCAGATTTCTTTGAGCACCCTGATGGAAAAAAAATAAATCACTTGATCGGTGATGGATATGTAGTTAAAGATGATTGAGCAGTTTGATTTTTATTTTTGCCCATTCGTAGTAGTTAATGAATAAACATCATGTAATTTTTATTGCGCTTAATAATACTGCTTATGTAGTTCTTAAAAATATATATATTTCCAAAAAAAATAATTAAATGAAGATTCAATGTTTCATAAATCTTACAAACGAGGGGTAATATCTAATTAATTAGTATCCTAGTCTAAATGATCTTTTAACGTTTTTTATTTTTCTTTTCGTTACTTTAATTCTCTTTAAGAAAAAGTTTACAAGTACCCTGGAACAACTTTTGTTACTTGACCCTCAATTCCTATCTTCCTTTGGAAAAAAAATCTAGTACATCGGGACCTCAATTTTTTCATGTACATGGATAAAATATTAGGAATAAGGAAAAGAGAAGCAACTAAGTATGTTCTTTTCTTACACAGATCAATTATTTTTCATGCAATGTGTAGGAAAATGTGAATAACGTATATATGTAAATAATTTTGTTGTAGTTGTATTAGTCATATGTGTAATGTACTTATAATTGTATTATTTTTGCTACGTAATTATTTGTATCATAATTAGAATTTGCTCGAAATTGCATTAAAAGGTCACTATTGAATCATTGGTTTAACTTTATTTATTTATTTTTTCTCTGAAAATACTAATATTTATTCATATACTTCTTTTTGTATGTCAAACCATGGGAAGCAAATATGGATATCTCTCAAAGCAAACTTGGATCAAAGTTCAATTGTAAAAAATATTTGCTTAATTGATTCATGTACGACACATACAATATTCAAAGAGAAGAAATTTTTCTCTCATTTAAGTATGTGTAAGGTAGATGTTACTACAATTTCTGGTAGTAGTAATCTAATTGAAAGCTCTGAAAGAGCTAATATAACTCTGCCTAAGGGAACAATACTTATCATAGAGAATGCAATGTTCTCCTCCAAGTCCAAGAGGAACTTGTTGAGTTTTAAAGATATCCGTCGAAATGTATTTCATATTGAGACAATAGATGAGAATAATTTCGAATATCTCATCATTACCAAGAATGTCTCTGGCCAGAAAAGGGTTATTGAGAAGTTTTCATCTTTATCTTGTGGCCTGTATTGGATAAGAATTAGTGCAATTGAGGCACATTCTATCGTAAACCAAAAGGTTACTGATTCAAGTACTTTTGTACTTTGGCATGGTCGATTGGGACATCCTGGATCAATTATGATGAGACGAATTATAGAAAACTCAAATGAGCATCCATTAAAGAATTTAAATATTCTTTTAAATTATAAATTTTCTTGCACTTCTTGTTATCAATGTAAGTTAATTATTAGACCATCACCAACAAAGGTTGGGATTGAGTCCCCCGCATTTTTGAAACGTATACAATGGGATATTTATGGTCCTATTCACCCACCTAGTGGGTCGTTTAAATATTTTATGGTCTTAATAGATGCTTCTTCTAGATGGTCTTATGTGTGCCTATTGTCATATCGCAACCTGGCGTTTGCAAAATTAATGGCACAAATAATTCGATTACGGGCACAGTTTTCCGATAATCCAATTAAGTCTATTCGACTTGATAATGCTGTTGAGTTTTCATCCCAAGCATTTAATGATTATTGTTTATCAATTGGGATAAAAGTGGAACATCATGTAGCTCATGATCACACTCAAAATGGCCTTGCATAATCTTTGATTAAACGTCTGCAATTGATAGCAAGACCGTTACTCATGAAAATAAGATTATCCACTTCTGTTTGGGGTCATGCCATTTTGCATGCTGCAACGCTAGTTCGTCGTAGACCGACAAATTATCATAAATAATCCCCGTTGCAATTAGTTTTGGGTCATGAACCTAATATATCCCGTTTAAGAATTTTTGGGTGCGCAGTATATGTGCTTATAGCACAGCCATATCGCACCAAGATGGGTCTCCAAAGAAGGTTAGGAATATATGTTGGGTTTGAATCGCCCTCCATTATACGCTTCCTCGAAACATTAACGAGAGATTTTTTCACTGCTCGATTTGCAAATTGTCGATTCGATGAGGCATTTTCCCCAAAATTAAGGGGAGAAATTGGTGAAATCAAACGGAAAATTTCATGAAAAAATCCATCATTGTCTCATCTTGATCCACGTGCCTCTATTTGTGAAAAAGAGGTGCAAAAGATTATTTATTTGCAGAAAATAGCAAATCAAATGCCAGACGCATTTACGGATTTGAAAAGGATAATGAAATCACATATCCCTGCAGAGAAAGTTTCAATCTGTATTGATGTCCTTGCTGAACAATCTTCTAGTGTCATAGCTAATGAGTCAAAAGCACGCCTAAAGTGTGGCATACCATTGGGTTTTAAGGATTGAAATCCTAAAAAAAGAAAAATAAATGATCAAGATGACACTACGAACGAGTCTCATAAAAAAA